GCGTCGATGCGGTTAGAAAACCACTGAAACAACTTTATGATAAACCGTACGAAGTAATTAAACGAACCAATAAACATTTCATAATCAACAAATAAGGGAAGAATAAACTATCGCCATCGATAGAATTAAACCAGCCTTCTACGTTGATTCAACCTGACAAAGAAGACAATACTACCGATAAACAAAACCTACTGCAAAGCACCAAGAAAGCAGTACAGGAGCGAAAACCGACCGTGAAGCCTACTTGCTTAACACGTTCCGGCAGGGCCGTGAAAAAACCTAAACGATATGAAAAAGTGAATTCAACAAATTACTGTTAGCGTAAGTATATTGTTAAAGCCAATCAATTCCCTAAATAAATACTACTAAACCCTCTTGGTCTTTTAACACGTGCATAAACCAAATCACATTTTTCGCAATTACTCTTGTTCTCACATTATTTTTTTACGCCATAATTGACAAGTCAGTTTTTTTTTTAAAAAACAAATACTTTTTACATGGAAATGAACAATCCAATTTCTGTGTGTGTCTATTATTAGCTTCGCACGTTGTTATTTTCATCAACAAACCAAAACATTGTGTCCTCCATTTTTGTGACATGTCATGCCACATTCATGCTGTTTTTTTTACATAAACGCATCGTATGATATTAATGTACATGTCAAACCATTCTCCACTTTCTTGCATTACCTTTGTAATTATTATTCTGCATAAATGCACACACTTTACTCTCACACATATAATTGTAATATAACCAGTGTTACCTCCGGACAATCTAGAGGGAGCTATGTGGCATGGCAAACTTATTTTTGTAAATAGTTTTTGATACTTTTTGTATTTATGCTGTTAATTGTCACAGCCTGTACATTCACTATGAAATTGTTGTACATTTTGTTTCAGTGTGTCCTTGAATATTTCAGGCGCACACGCTTCTCCACATTTACGTTCATTGTACAGATAGCACGGATCTCACTGCCGGATCCAATCAAATAAACTTTATGCGAACATCTCATGTTCTCAATCGTTCATTATCACGCTATCTGGATTTGAATACGTATATTATCTATGTTCATGGACTGCCGTCATACGTATATGCTACTCTACGGATAAATACACCATTCGGATCGCTTTCTTTGACTATTTCATTAGAATATATGATATTCAGAAAAGGCTATACGATTCCTTTCAAGAACAAGTAGAGGAGTTAGTCCTCGTCCGCACTGTTAACAGGAAATTTACTGGATTCTGAAATAAAACAGCATTACTAATTTTGTCGTTGCAGACAGTTTTTTTTCTGAAGAATAAAGATGTAAGTGGTTGGGTCTTTTATTCACAAAGTGGATTGAAATAAACTTTTTTCTGCCTTTTTTTCTATATTGTATTCGCCGTTTTGTTGTTAAGATAATAATATTAGATTCTATATCATAATACTTTGATTACATGGTGAGAAAGTATGACCTAAATGATTATTTCACAATTTCTAATTATATTGTTTCTGTTGTTGTCGGAACAAAGACTCAGTGATACTTTGTTGTTCACAAAATATTTGGATAAACATATTGTTCATTGTTATTCGATAATAATTCACATGTCAGGAGATTCGCATTGTTTCTGATTTGTATTTTACCATTCGGTAGATCTGTTTTGCGAAAGATTCTACCGGATACAAAAATAATAGACTTTAATATTGCCGTTTCTACTATGAATATGTGCACCAGTTAAAATGCCATAGAAATATACAGCGATAGTTAAATATTTATTTAAGTTTATGCTTTAGTTTAATGAATCAAGATAGAAATCTAACTCAACGCTCGAATCATATTTTTATTCACTTTCAAATTAAAACGGCGTACTTATGTTCACACTTTACTGATCACAGACCAGAAAATTATCAGCCGTTTAGCAATACAAATAATTATTTTATATTTTAGAAAGAAAAAACTGCACGTGACTAAAAATGGTAATACGTTAGTATGAGTAATGCTGGGAACGAAAAGTATGTGTCTTTATCGCATTGGTACATGACATGCTGGTTCACGCCATAATGTTCAGTGAACGAATCATTTACTACATATAATTCTCGCAGGAACAAAGAACATAAAAATCAATACATGGGAATAGTGTACTTTAGTAATTTCAGAAACCAAGATTTCTACTGATTATAAAAATACGGAAAACCGATTCGATATACTCAGTATGCTGTAAACGAGTGTACACATTATTAGATACTTTAAGTCAAGTACTCATTTATGAAAAGTATTCAGTATATTTTGTAACGCATCCTCGAATATATGAAGAAAAGTATTTCTATCAATGTTGTGAAAGGTAAACAACGTTTATCTGGATAACAATCTAATTATCAAAATCGTTGATAACGCTGCGAAGGTTTATCTATCTATAACTCCATAGTCATCTATTCAACATAATTAGCTTGTATTACGTATTAATCCACAGTTAAGTACACCTTCTTGACAAAAACGGACCAAAGCTTTCTCGTTGAGTTACAAAATGATGTACCGTTCAATGTTAAGTTCGACACAGATATGTTCAGATAATTGCAATTCTTACCGTGTCTCAAATTTGCAAATAGAGATTTTTAAAGCGAGATCTATTTGAAATTCAAAACTGAGTAAGTACGAAAGGTGTATCACAAAGATTATTGTGAACCAGGCTTGCAGGTTGATTGACAAATTCGGAGTACATGGAAAACAACACAACTAAGGAAGTCAACATCAACTTCGAACACTGATTAATTGTTTCCGAGAACTTATTAGAACCTACATTACCAATTACACCTGAACTGGAATACTAACTGTGATCAGCCGAGGAAACAATCCTATGCACGAGATAAAAGACTACAAATAAAATTATTTAATTGGTCACTGATTCCAAAATAGGACTGAACGTTAGTACTAGTTAAACTGTATTCTTCAGTTTATTTTGCAATAATGAATCGATACATTTCAGAACTCCTATCGAAACTCAAAGTGACTGGATCAAGTATTACTATTATTATGGGACATATCGTCAGTGCACATAATCAGATGAACAAGTGAAGGTCGCCACAAAGTTCTACGTCGCGAAGACAATTTTACTAATAATGTATGGTTTACAAACGCCAATTAGTATAACGTGCAATTTTTTCGATAATGTATCGTGAGCGACAAATGAGGTTGCAAGCTCTCTCAGCAAAATGTTCTATCCAAAAGTACGTTCTGCATAAACCTCTGTGGACAAACATTGTTTAACTATTTCTCAGGCTGAATAAAATAAAAAAGTATTTGCTGATTTAGAGGTTAATGAAGTTCGCGAATTTTCAGGATAACGTTTGTGCAATATGACATAGACTGTTATTTTTGTTCATTGATAAGTTATGTTGTTCATCAGGAAACATGATCCCGCTAAACGGAACATTAATAGGTATTGAATTTGTAGGCGTGATGACTAGATGAACGATGCAATTTATAGCACGTTCTGTATCGAGGTTGCGAAAATAGATATCGCACCAGTATTCAAAAATACAAGCACACAATTGTACTATCATTTCATGTAAATGTCTTGAGCAAAGTACTGCAAAAGCGAATGGAAAATGTAGAAGGTATTCAACGTTGAGAACAGCAGATTGAACTCCGTTTCAATTGATTGTATATTCACAGAACTAACGCTTATTCAGTCGAGTCGAATAAAAGATTGCATTTCATTGTGTTAGCAGGATCACTATATAAGGGCTTCTGCGACAAGATTTCTTGCCTGAGAATGTAAACTACGTGAAACAGATTTATAAACATGGCCCTAACCGTCATGCACGATGAAGTGCCATATAATTCCTTTTTTCGGGACGACCAATGTTGGTAAACATGAAATTTTATTACTTTAACTATTCTTTCCAACAATCGACTACATTACAGAGACTGTAACTCGCAAGGAATTTCATAACACGGTTGTTGGCTACTGACGCTCTTACTTTACTGAACTTTTAATATCAGTCCAGCATTAATAATGCATGAGGTGGACCTGATACAGATAATATGTAATGGAAAAGAAACCCAAAGTAAACATTTTGTCATTTGAGAATAACTTACAATCCAAATGAACGGATAACAAACAATTTTTTCTATGCAAATTGCAAGAAAAAATATCTGGAGGAAGCAAATCATGGTAGTCATCTTGAGAAAGATTCAGGTGTTTATTAACTGTCACCATTTAGACTAATATTCGACGCCAAGCAAACATACACGTAAATGACACGCTAACTGACTGATAAGGATCGGACTCTCCATACGGCTTGAAAAACATCTAGTCATTTTAAAAGAAGTGGTCGAATTTTCGACTACCAAAAACACAATAAGTCATCTTTCAAAAGCAATGAAAGTTTTTCAAAAGTAATATATGGTGGAAATCTCACAATACAAATTTATGTATCATCATAATATACAAAGAGACTTCCATGATATAACAAACGAATTTTGTTCTGGACTAGATGATCCTAATTAGTACGTTGAATACAAGCAAAACAGTCCTATTTTTACTATGTGCATGATTATCAAGCAATCTTCAGAATAGTCGCAAGTAGAATATGCATTGAAATAACTCACTTTCCACTTTATTATTGGAGAAATAAAATTGAAAAAAGTGGAAACCGAGTAATCATGTTACATCTTTTCATCAGATTTTAGTGTTTGGTTATTAAAATAACGTGCATGACAACCAAATATCAGTATGTACAAGTTTGTATTTATAGTGTGTAATAAATACGGACAAGATCATTTAAACATAAATTTTCAAATTATCAGAAAACGGAAAAATAAAAATAAAGTTTAAAAGATTTTTCTACGTTTCAATGTATCCGCACGTACTCATTCATCATGTTCTTTGTATCTTCAACTAAATCACAGTTTCAAGTGGTTTACATAGACTCTTTTAACTTTTAGTTAGTCTAAAGTTCAGTGACACAGTAATCAATATAAATATATGTCTTTATATATATATATATATATATATTCTATAGGTATTGACGTTTGATACTATACTAACAAGAGACTGTGAAGTAAACGCTGATAATGAATGGTGTGAGTTTGCAAATTTCAAAATAATTTTATTACATGAGCTTTAGGTTTCATGATTTCATTTAAGGTTATATCACTTTGAAGGTATCGGAACATTGCTCTGCATTGACTTCTTGAAGTTTGTTGGTTGAGGGATCCATAGATTCGTTATGTGATTGACAGAGATGTAGATAATGTTGATATATAGGGAAATGTTAAGTTAGACATTTGGATGAAACAGTGATGGGCCGTCTTCCAATAATTTTTCACACACTACACTAATCAACGATGTCAAACTACTTTCCTTTTCCTAAAATCATGTACTTGGATGTAAAGCTGTCAACATAAACTTGACAAAGAAAGTTGACATGTAAAATAATTTATTTTTATATTTTTCTGTAAGCTATATAATAACATTTTGCGTTACTTTGAATCTATCATTTTAGCCAATTCAGTTTAACATGGATTTATCGACCTCATTCAATCGAAATATTTCAACCATGACTTCTAATGCATCCGCTTTTATGCTGCAAATTGAAAAGGAGAACAAAAGTTGCGATTTTACATCGTGCTTGTAAGTATTTGATATTGGCTTACAACTGACCGTCCACGTTAAAGATTGAAATATGATTGTTGGAAATATGGGGTTCATTTGTCTATTCTCATATTATTGTAAGTAATGAAACTTTTTAAACTTGACGATTTTATTTCGTTTATTGTCAATTAAGTACATTCCTCTCATGCGTCACAAATTAGTGGCAATAAATTCGGCTATATAAAATTTTCAAAGAGATCATACTGGATGATCCATATAAAAAGTGCTCAGATTTTATTTGATCAAGACTTTTATATGAACTAATGTGATAAGTTTCTTGATACTCACTGACTGTTTTCTTTGTCATCCATTTTAGTTATTTTTGCCAATAAGCTAGCGAAACCTTAGCTTTAATGTATTGCAGGCGAATTTTGCCTCTATTTTTCATGAAACTTTCAACACACTCGAAGTTCACTTCAGTTGATTTTTCTGTATACTTTACTTATACATTACAGATTGATAGCACTACTGTTCACAGTGATCATTATTCTGAACAAAGTTTTTCACTCTGCATCTCCGTGGAACAATATTTTTATTTTTTTAACGGTTAGTCGAATATGATACTTATCATTTTGTATATCTTAAACTCGTGACAATACATGAGATTACGTGAAATTTAGATTACTTGCATTTATTCTGATGTGACTTTGATTCAACAGACAGATGCCGAAAATAATATAACTTAACAAATCATGTTTTCATTCCTATACCCTTTAGCATTCACTCATAATGACAGTATTTTTGATACGCCTATCTCAGTATGTAAATCATTCTAAGATGTTTGGGAGTGGGTGATAATTGTGTAACGCATGATAGACGAATGAATAAGACGAGTGAAGATTCTAGATCAAGTGTGCGTCGTGTGAAGTCTCATGAAAAGAAAAATGAAACCTTGTAGGAAAAATTCTCCGTATTTTTTTCCGATAATTTCTATATAGAGAAGTTTTAAAGTGACACAGTTTATTCTGATTTAATTCGTTGATTTTTCTGTTCCCCTGCAAATACTCAATTTTCTTATAAAAAAATCTTCCAAAAAGTGGTGGCTTCTGTTGTTAAATTCGTTTTGTGCGTACACTGCTTCTCGAATTTTGTTGTGTTTAATTCATTAGAAAGCTTACCTGCATATTCATTTGAGCGGTATTTCATAATTCACAAAAAGCACTTGACTCGCATCAAGATGTTCGAACTGTTTACTGCTAGGCTTTATAATCGAGAACAAAGCATGATCAGTTTTCCTCACTTTTTGTTTTCTCGATGTCGACTGCTTTGTTACTCTGTTTGTCAAAATCTAACACAATACTTGTTTACCTCTTAGATGATCATTTGGATAATCGGTGTTGGGTTACTGTATCGATATGGTGATTGGTATGAACCCATTACTGCTGCTTCTATGTCATCCGTGTTGGCGATCTTTGCTATGTTATTCGGAATAAAACTGCAAGATTCTGCCCGAAAATGGAGGATACTGTTATTTTTTTCTTGTTGTTTATTTTTGGCGGCTGGAATCGCCTTCTTTGCACTAGCCATAAAATACAGGTTTCAAAACAAGGTAAGCTGAAAAACTTCAAGTTATGAAAATTAAACTGATAACATTTACTTTTAAAATAGTATATGATCGACTATTCAAAAAGAACTTGAAAACTTTGTGTCACATAATAATAATAGAATATGGACTAATAATCAAGCAGTGTGAAATATACACAACAATCAAGAATACTATTTGCTTTATCTATTTATTAGGTGTGTATAATCAAAACATATCCATTTTTATTCATCTGTGTTTAAATGATATAATGAGAGCGGTACACAAACGTTTTCGCAGTTTTTTTACACACTACCTTATTTGTAAATATATGATTTAAGAATTTCGGGACACAGCAGCAGTCTTTTCGGTGAACGATGGTCAGCCTTTATGTTCAATATTTTGTGATGCATATTAAAAGTGACAGTAAAATACCACGTCACAAAATCTTGCCATCATTTCAAAGATACACACAACGTTAACGTTATTCACCAAGCAGATTATTGACAAATGAGAAAGAAGTCAACTTATTTGCATATCGTCCAAATTGTGAAATTTTATTTTAATGAAATCTGACCTGACAGGCTGAATTATTGTCGTACTTTAAGTACTACGAATCAGATATTTATACAAAATAATATGTTGTGGTATTTTTGTCTATTCGTTCCAGATTCAATTCGCAATTTTGTCGTTTATCTGTTTTTGTGCTGCAATGTTCATTGTAAGTTACTCACATATTTGACAATATCAGGTGAATTGTGCTTTGTTGAACATCTTGCTTCGAAGAGAAACTAAAACTCCTAAGCGTTTTCATAGTTCCTACAATGCATTTCGCAGATCTTTTCATTAGCTTCAAAAGTGCAAAATGTCGTTAGTTTCAATATCTTACTATTAAGCCTTGAATGTTAGTTATCGAATAATGAAGACTTGATATTTTGTTTGTTTCTTCCGTCAGTCGACTGCATATTGATTAGACTGATATCATTGTCCAAGAATTTTTGATTGATCAAACGATTAAGCAAATAAGTCACTTGCAATTTGATTTTTTCGATGATGTGAAATTACCAGACAATTCACAGTTCATCTGTAAATATGTTCGATTTTACAATCCGATATAGACGTGTTCGAATTTTAATTGTAAGACAAAACAGTTTTCAACTTTACAATTACAGGTGATTACACTGACCATTTATTACTTGTTGAAATACGGAAACGCAGAAGAATACTCCATATTGTATATAGCTTTGGTGTCTTCTTTCGAGGTAATGATACTGTCGATTATTTCACAATTCCATGTCAATTATTTCTTTCATTGTGTAAAAGAAATATCACAGTGAACAATGAAACCAATATCTATGATGCCTACTTCTTCTTTGTTTATAAAAAACCTCAATAAATTATTTTGTGTTCTGTTATGTTGATCAGCGTTGTCTTATCAATACTGTAATAAATACACTGTAATTTGTTAGATATTTGTCTGAATTTTACTCCGAGTTTCATTAAACACCATCCCAAATGATGGAGGAAATATATCATTTATCACACGCTTACTGTTATGTAACCTGCTAATCCCTAAACTAGAGCGAACCTATACATCACTTTACATACCTGTATGAGTCACAGTACGACCAATTGCAATCAAATAATGAATTCAATGATTTTATTCATCACAAGCTATTAAAAAATCTAAAAATTTGAAGATTGTCTACTTGCAGGCCATGTGAAACATCTGTTTAAATTGATGAACTATCCTTATTCACGAATCTGCCTCATCTTCAATGACCTAGATTGTTGTGATTGTAGGAAACCTCCATATCGCATAGTTCAATTTTACACTAATTTAGCTGTTCACAGTCACATGTTCAGTCACATGTTTCCTAACTAGTGCAAGAATATTGAATGCTGGTACTTGTTCCATAGAGTCTCAGTCAGTCAGAATGATCAACATGCTGAAGATAAAGAAACTGAAGATTTAGGAATACAGCGGGTAAAATAATCAGTTACTTCGGGATGTATAGTGTCTGTAGGCTGCATATGTTACTTTCAGAGTAACCTGAACATTTGAAGACGCATCGTGTCGTGTACATTTTTGTCTGCTCGATGTGTTGCTAGATATTGAATCAAACTATCTTCATGATCACTTTTCAAATTCGGTACCAAACAATAAGCTATCTAGATTACACTTTTAAAACTAACACGTTTGTCATATGAATGCAAGTGTCTTTGTGTAATATTGATCGCGACCATTTAAACAACTGCAGAAAGTGAGGGAAATCAGCAGTGTCAATTGATTGATATCCAAAGATCATTACTCAAAAAATGTCATGGTATTTTGACGGCAGCCTAATTGTTGATATTTCAGTTTATGACTCGTTAAAGTAGGATCAATTATTTTCTCAAAGGTTTTGTTTGGAACAACGATCAACCTTTTGTATTGAATGAACAAGATTAGAGACGCGAGAAACAATCGGAAAAACAACAAAGGGTTGATTCAACTATGTCACAAAATAAGTGGTCACTCGAAACTTTCATGAATTAAGGAGAAGCGATACAGCAAGCATGGCACCCTGCTGAGTATTGAAGACAGATGTGAATGAATAAATGGCGAAAAAACTGAAACAGATGACTTACAATGAAGAAGGTATGAAAAAACTAGTTGTAACTAATTCAGTTACACATATTTGTAAGGTGTTTTGTGTACAACAGTGAGTGTTGATAACATTCCGATATTTGAACATGAACTAATCCGTCGTTTTTGGCCAGCTGATCGATATGCAATCAATAATTCACATAAAAGGAATTTTCGATGAAGTATAAATAGTTTTTGGTTTGGAGGTTTTGTTTTGAATACAGATCAACGGTCTGTCTTGACTGAACACGATTATGACATACTTGTTAGGTAACCAATGAAATATTACTGTCAGACAATTAACGTTTTAAGAGGACTTTATTTTTGATTTGAATAATCATTCATCAATTATGCAGCTACAAAAAGTAAACGATTTTGTTACGATTGTCAGTTGAACGAAGGAAATAAATCCTGTATTGTTCATGTTTTAAGACTGCTGAAAATTATCTCATCAGGTATATTTACTACAAGTACGTCGTTCTACTCTCATTGTCAGAAATGTTCCTGAACAGAAAACTATTAGACTGAATGAAAAAATTACTCCATATTCATCTTTAAAAAATTGCAGAATAGATTCTGTAGAATTCGATTGTTTAATTATCAAACCATAGAGTAATTCAGTTACTTGTTACGGTTGACTGAATAACAGAAGCGACAAATTGTAACAAAAGACATGGATTAGTTTTGGCGGCTACTGATGCTCTGACGCTACTGGCATTTTTAAATCCACAAAACTTCGTTGTCTTACTACAGGCATATGATTATGATGAATATATCGGAATAACAAAACAAAGTGAACATTTATACATTAAGGGGACATCTTTAATCCAAATGATTTGATGACAAACATCGAAGACACTTTTTCGATGCAAACTTCAAAATCAGATATTCGCATGAAATGAACCACGTTTGTCATCAAGATGTAGAACAGAAGAGAACTGCTGAATATCTGCATGCAGATTTTGCTTCAAACCTGCGCAATCTTCAATTTATTCAATAACTTTTACTCATATTTTAGTGTTTTGATAATAAAATCACTTGAATGTTTCAAAAACGCAATAAACTCATTGAAAGCAACAAAGGAAATCAATGGTATATGTACTGGTATTACACAACATTTCTTCCTGTGCTTCAGCGACTTCAACTCCGCCAGTAGAACGTAAGGGGCTAATGCCGGTCCCAAACACGGATAAAGGAAGAGGGTTGGACATGGGGTTGTCGACCTCATTCCGTCGAAATCCAACTTGCCAAAAAAACGGTGGCACAATAATACCGCAAAAACGCATTCACAAAGCCACATGGATTTCCATGGATCACTACTGAAAACCAAATTGACCATATCTGTATCAACAAAACGTTCAGAAAGACCATGGAGGCTGTGAGAACCAATAGAGGAGCTGATATACCTTCTGATCACCACTTGCTGGTAGCTACAATGACACTGAAACTAAAAAAGCCTTTGACAACGTGGCAAGGAACATCACAGAAGTTGATTACAGCCTTTGCGTAAAACTCAACGAATTCCTAATGACAGAATGAATGATTTCGTAGACGCTCAACTTCGAGATCAACACGCCGGATTTCGTAAGGATCGATCGTGTACTGACCAAACTGCTACATTACGGATTATTGTGGAACAGTCAACTGAATGGAATGCATCACTCTACATCAACTTCATCGACTACGAAATAGCATTCGATAGCGTGGATAGGGGAACGCTGTAGAGGCTCCTTCGACACTACGGTGTGCCTGAGAAAATAGTTTACATCATACGGAATTCTTATGGTGGATTCAACTGCAAAATCGTGCACGGAGGACAGCTAACACACTCGTTCGAGTTTCAGAACGGTGTCAGGCAACGTTGCCTACTCTCAACCCTTCTCTCTTTCTTGGTGATCGACTGTTTTATTAAGAAGTCAGCATATAGGGGGAAGCACAAAATTTAATGGAGGCTAGGACGCAGCTAGACGATCTTGACTTCGCAGACGACCTGACGCACACGCAACAACAAATGCAAGAGAAGATGACCAGTGTAGCAGCAGTAGGTCTCGACATACATAGAGTAAAAAGCGAAATTCTCCGATGCAACAAAACATGCACCAACCAAATCACTATTGATGGAGATGCCTTGAAGGAGATTAACAATTTTACATATCTGGGTAGCAACATCGACGAGGAAGATGGACCTGTTGAAGATGTGAGCGTGCGGATAGGCAAAGCAAAGGGTGCATTTCTACAGTTGAAAAATATCTGGAACTCCAAACAACTTTCAACCAAAACCAAAATCAGGATTTTCAATACAAATGTCAAGAGAGTTCAACTGTATGGAGCGGAAAATTTGGAAGACTACCAGAGCCATCATCCAGAAAATATAAGTATTACTTAATTGTTGCAACGCAAAATACTTCGGATTCATTTTCCAGACACGATCAGCAACAACGTACTGTGGGAGAGAACAAACCAGGTTCCAGTGGAGGAAGAAATCAGGAAGAAGCGGTAGAAGTGGATAGGACACTGACTACGAAGAGCACCTAATTGCCTAAAGAGACAAGCCCTTATTTGGAACCCTCAATCCGAAAGGAAAAGAGTAGGGCTGAGGATGACATTACGCCGAAAAATAGAAAAACATATGAGAGAAGTGAACAAAAATTCGAAAAAACTGGAGAGCGAAGCCCAGGACAGTGTTGGTTGTAGGAAACTGGTGGGCGGCCTCTGCTTCATTTGGGGTAACAGGCGTAAGTATGTAAGTAAGTTCAGCAATTTCAACATTTTTGGTTGTTATTTACCACTCTTTTTTTTCAATACGTCCGTGGTCACGACAGGGACAATTAAACAAGGTTGAAAATATGCAAACTCAGTAGTGATTTATATTTTCATTCGGCATCACTAGAGATATTTTAACAAGTAACTCTTTGGTGATCGTTGATTAAGGATATTGATAGATTAATCTACATATAGAAAAACTGTGAGATAGACAGTTGGATGAATCATAGAGATGGGCTCACTTACATTGATAATTAGTCACAAAGAGCATTATTCAACGAAGTCTGACTACTCTCACGTTCTTCAATAAATCAACTTGTATTAAAAACTTCCAACAATTGTTTGACTGTGAATCGACAAGTTTGAGACTATTTGTTCGTATTTCTGTGTGATACATGTAATTAGTATTCAGTTTCTTTGCATCTTGTATGTTTGATAATTCAGATAAACCTGTCAAGATTATCCTATCTAAAAATGTCAACCATAAAAACAAGGGTATTCACCTTAGTATTAGAAGCTAATTACAATGAAGCAATTTGTATTTAAACCTCGTGCGTGTAATTATATGATTTTCTCTAACAATTCGCCATTCTCGTTACAGATTATGTAAGGAATATTGAGGGGATCCAGGACGTTTGTAAGGTCTCACATTGATGTAAGTTATGAAACCTGGTAGAAATTGTGAAACTCTTTTTTGTATAAATACATTGGAAAATGATTCACGTTTTGATTGAAATATTCGTTAAAAGAGATCACTTAGAGGAAATCATTTTGAAGAATCCTTGTAAACACAGCCTTCATTTGGACTGATCATGGTTGCGAAATAAATAAACATTCCGACGCACTGTCCATTTTAGTTATGTATCTCAAATATGCATGTGAAAACTTTGCTGCTTTGGATTGCTTCTAGTGTTTCGGATACATTGTTCTTGAAATTTTTATTAATTCGTACTACACTCAAAGTCCACTCCAATTTATATGTTTCCTAATGCATTGACGCTCTACAGATTCATAGCACTACTTTTCACAGTCAT